AGATTCTACATAAAAATTCCAATAATGACAAAAATGAGCAGAGCAATCGGATTTCTTTTGCTTTAGTGCACATTAATTGAACCGGTGAAGACAATAAAAAAAATGTGGAAAACGGTTGGCCTCAAGGGCCATCCCTGCAACTTCCCTCTAATTGCATACGCTAACGTTCAAATCTCGCTTTTTTTCACTGCTTTTGAGCTCTTCTAAATTTTTCGTTTTCGATATCTAGCAAGTAAATCAACCGATTTCGACCCGGTTTGCGGCAAACGATGTGTTTCTTCAAGGTTTAGAACTGATTAGTTTTTGGTGTCGATCGGTCAAGTCGTTTGGTCAAAACGATTTTTCAAAATTTTTATTTTTGAGATTTCTCAAAATTTACTGGTCCGATTGGGTCCAAACTTACACGAAATTCAAGTGCATCCCTTTGGAATGCCGTTTAGTTTATTCAAATCGGTTGAGCAGTTTAATAGTTATAAGAGGGTCACATACATCCACACACACACACATACATCCATACATACATACAGACATACGGAAATCATCGTAGAAATGTTCGGGGAAGCTTCCTCGACCCTCAGAACGTCGAGATCTGTTGAGAACTCGATTTTTGCAAAATGGGGTGAAACCAATATCTTCCCGATTTTTTAGAAAATTTTCCATTTTCTTAGCGGGAAGTTAAAAAGTGGAGTAAAGTCCTTGTGTGGATGAATCTAAATAAATATGGTAGGTTGCGATGGAAATATTTGGGTTCGATGTTCAAAGAGAAGAATGCTGAAATGAATACTCGGTACACCACAAAAACTTTCAAGCACGGAGGTGGGAATATCATGATATGGGGATGTTTTTCGTGGTACGTGATGCATGGGAGATCGTAAAGTCAAAGTTGGGACTCATTGAACCACGAAGTAGGGAGGACCTATAGGAAAAAGTCCACGAGGTTTGGTATTCAATACCGAATTCAGTCTGTAAAGCTCTAGTGAAATCTATGCCGGAAAGGTGCACTGCCTTACTCGCAAATAAAGGTTTTGCAACAAAATTACTTATTTGCAACTTAAAGTAAGTTCCTGACAGTTCCTTCAAATGTTATCTGCTGATAATAATTAAATTTATTTTAAGTTATATTTGCTTTTTAAATGTTTAAAATAAGTTTTATTACTTAAAATAATTGTTTCCTCCTAAGAACTGTTGTAACACTTTTTGTTTGTTATATGCAAGTACAAAAAATTACGATATGAATTAATAAAATTAATAATTAATTAATAAACAAAAACCTATGATCATTAATATACAAATTTTCAAAAAAGGGAAACTAAATTTTCCGAATTTGCGAGTATTGATCAAGTTCACTTTCTTTCCCACTTACGTCTTCCTTCCTAGACTCCATTCAAAAGCAGCTGGTTAAAACTTTTTAATGGCAATAAGAGAAGTTTTTTTCATTATCATACATAATACAATAAAACTTAGAACTTGAAAAGAAAAACAACTCTTAACAAAGTTAGATTTTCAAAGAAAATGACTAAAGCTTGAATAAGCTTAATATATTTATATACGTGCTTTAAAATCAAAACCGGTATCGCAATATTCCCACAATATTCACAATTACATATCATAAAGCTTTGAAGAACTGTAGAATGTATTTACATACATAACTATAAATTGGATGTGGAATTTGTTAATACAGTAAACTAAATGTATCTTAATAAAAAGTTCGGCCGAGCTTCTGTTCAAGTTGTCATCGTAGAAGCTAGTTATATCCGCTGGCTGTTGAATATTTTTAATAAACTGAGTGATGCAAGAACACCATTGAGCTTTCGCATTTCCTGACGAAATCAAGACGAGATAGATCGTCATTCGAAAAAACTTTTTTTTATAATATTAACCTGAGTTGAGATTAAAATCCACAATCCACGCAATGGTAGTATCGTACTTAGATCATACTGTTACGTAGGACCGAAGCAAGATTACAGTCTAAACAGTGTGCCAGAATTGACAGAAATTTCATAAGACCGATCCACTTCTAAATTTTCTAAGCATTTTAAACATTTTGGCTCAATATCATGTTAATGGGTCTACGCTAATTGAATCCCCACAAATCAAATAATGGCTTCCGTCCATCCAATTAAAATTAATTAGAGAGACAAAACTTGGTTTGGAATTGTATATGTCAAAAAATTGATTACTATCATTTGAGTCCGAAAACGTCTAAATGAATTTAGTGAAGTTTGCGAAATCTAACGAATTCACCCCAATGAATTGAAATATATACATTTTCCAATGCCAACACTAAGAAGACTATGAAGCGCAATTGCAATATAAAGAGTTGCAAACTTTTTATCTATCAATAACTGCCTAACAGCCCACTGTTCCT